TAACACAATAATCCGAAGTTAATAAACAAACTATATCAATAAAATTGTGTTATATTTCATTGGTGAATGAAATATCCCATTAGGAAAGTGTAACATTTATTTCTCAATAACAACTTACCTCAGAGCGTTAACAATTTGCCCCACGACAGGGTAAGAAGTTCCGCCTTGAGTTAACCACAAGAAAGAAGAACAAGATTCTCTGAAAATCTCGTTGCAATATATTTGAATACGAGTTGCCAATCTTAAAAGTAGAATAAATGTAAACAATAAATCAGTCAGAAACGAGAAAAGCAACCGCATTGTTTCTTAGTCAATTTTTATGTTTTCTCGAAAGCGGAACTTCTAGCCCCGGTCACCCCTACTGCGAAAAGCTGTGGGAGCAAATGGCGAGTCTGTAGAAAATAGGAGAGGATGCGCGACGGGAATCGATAAATATGCCGACGGGGATCCAGCTGAAATATTCCCGCGCGTACACAGCGAAACGTTCGGAACACTCACGTGCATTTCAACGTCGGATTCCTGGGAGTACATGTAGCCGTTGTCGTAACCGGTATCGCCCTGCACGTGACGTATGTTATACGTCTCCGGCACGCTGTGCACCAGGTGGCGATCCAACTCATCGGGGTCACCCAGAATCTTCGTCGGTACGATCGGAGCGTGGCTGTCGAGCGCCTGGAACGCACACCGTTCAATTGATATCCAAGGTATTGGCCACTTCAGCAGCTTTTACTCCCCCGTTTCCAACCCCCGCGCCCTCGACCTGGACACACCATCCGATACCCGGCCGTTTCTATAACGTAAAGGCCGGCTCCCATAGCGGGACCACTTCGAATAACCCGTCGATTCAATACCAAGGGCCTAAACTTTAGACTCGACGACGGACAGGTAGCGATTATGAGATGAATTTTTATTTCAGTTATTTCGTTACTAATTTATAGTGCTGCTCATTGGCGCAGCTGCTGTTATCATTGGCAGAAGTCGTTGGCCTAGTTACAATTTGGCGGACACGCGAAATTCTAATATACAGTTCGACTAACATTTTGCGAAACAGTGGTCGGACTGGAGGACTCGTTCCAATAGAAATTGGTAAACAATTTTTTAAATAGCCTTCAATACACTGTAATCTTATTTACAAGCTTGCCAAGCGAAATGGGAAATGATTTGCATCGATTACAATTTGCAGGAGCCCGCAACATGTTTGAAATAGCATAGTAATACGGTAATGTCTCTCTAATTGACGCTCAGATTGTCCACAAAAGTGGACAATTTTGGAAGAAGAGATACGATTGTTCGAGCCTTGCGGCTCGTTTTTTATGGCTATCGATTGTCAACAACTATAAGAACGAGACGCAAGGCTCGATTAATCGCATCTCCTCTCCCCAAATTGTCCATTTTTCAGCGTAATACATTGCGCTTTTGTACATTTCCATCGTTGCGATGTAATATCCGGGGTCAAGAAATGTCATGGAATGCCATAATCTTGACATAACGTTGAATAAAAAAGATTTTAAACATCGGCGATCTTAAAAATGCGAAGAATAGGACAACGAGACAAATTTTCTGTTTTTCATTGCTAGACTATGCATCTTTGTACAGTTGCGGCATCTGCAAATTTTTAAAATGCATTAGAGCGTATGAATTAACAAGATCTAATAGCTTCTATTCCCCTTTTACGATTGGTAATCTTCTAGTTCTCGAAGCATAACCTTACTGTAATTTTATTATTTGTAGAATGATTCGAAGTCGCTAAAAGACATTATACTTCGACATTTCTTTCCACTATCGAAAACAAATAAAATATTCGAAACGATGAAATTATTTTGTTCACCCAGTGTATGTTTTGAACAAAATCTGTGAACGGCGTCGCGAACAGATTACATTGTGATCCTATTTACGAGCTCGCCAAGCGAAATGAAAAACGATTCGCATCAATTACAATTTGCAGGAGCTTGCAACATGTTCGAAATAGCATAGTAATACTTTAAAATTTTTTAAACGTCAGGTACAGTAATTTCTCCCCAATTCGCGCTCAGATTGCGCACTAAAATAGACAGTTTGAGAAGATGAGATACGATCATTCGAGCCTTGCGTTTCGCTTTTATAGTTGTTGACAATCGATAACTATAAAAATGAGACGCAAGGCTCGAATAATCGTTTTCAATTCTTGTGCGTCATCTGAGCGTGAATCAGGGATAAATTACTGTATTGTGTGTGTAGCTGTTACTTATTTACAATCAGTGTAAAAAGTATTCGTACACTGAATTTCAGAATTTACGATGAAAACTTTGCCTTTTGCATCGATTCACAGTGCGAGCTGTTACGCGCGGAAATCGAAGAAATGTTATTCGTTTTCGAGTAAACTAATACAAATGTAAACATTAAATCCTGAAAAATTAACGTGGGATTAGTTACAATTAAATATACCTCACAACCTAATTGTGACATAATCAACACGTTTGTTCAATGTACACAATTATTGGTTGACGTGTGTCGAACAATGTTTAATATACCTTAAATATGGAGAATTTTAACAGAAGCATGTATAATTTTAATTTTCAATTAAGAAATGTTCGATTTTCTAAGAAAATTATTTTAGAAAGAACCGTTTGCTGGATTGCGATACTGGAGATGTCAATTTGTTTCTTTTTCTCGTCTTAATCTTTCAATAAATTTGAGCCGTTCTCGGATCACAAATCGGGTAATTCCAGATTTTATATCTTTTGGGTTTCTTTGTCAATGAATTTTCATGGATCTTCAACATGTTACATTTCGGTATTCCAAAGTTCATATATAATTAACAATTGCTTATGTTTTTCTGTTTGAGAAAGATATATTTTTTCATATAAATCTATTAAATTAATATATTAAATTAATGTGTGCGTCAAGGTATAGATAAATATTGGACTAAATATGATTTATGTACATATATATTCAAGATATCCAATCTAAAACAGGTCATCTAATTATATGTATATTCCTTGTCGTCATGCAATTTATTAATGTTCGTAATTTGTAACTTATGAATATCATTCTCCAATGTATTCTTCAGAACCATGATTTTCTATGTCAAGGTACAACCCAGTAAAGAACTTCTATCTGCACGGCTAAAGAAGCTAATTAGGTAACCGGTTCCAAGTGGAACACTCCGGTTAATCTTCAAAAATCTGAAAATACCTTCAACATTGTCAAAATATTTTTGAAATTAACATGATTTTTCTGATGCAAATAAATGTGGCTGAGAATGAAATTAGAATTGACGGCTAACGAATAAAATTGTTGAAATTGCAAGCAACTGAATAAATTATTTTCTGTATAATATAGAAATATAATAATTATATAATTATATAACTACACACAATTTAGATAACTGTCTTAGAATATATTTTCTCGTGGTTAAAACCTATTTCCTTGTATTTTACAAGTTTGAACTTTTTAATAAAATAATATTTATTCGCGGCGTGCAGGATGGAGAAGCGAATCGAGTTTTTGAGATGATATATATAGATACAGTTTTCCATTCCCGTGGGAAGGAAATTAAGGAAATAAATTTAACAGAACTCGTACCTAGAAATATCCTCTCTGTTTGTCCATATAAATTCCCCAGCGAATTAATAAAAGCATACCTCTGTGGAATTTCTGAAGGAATATCCTCCGAAAAATTGCTGCACGCCGAAAAGAACACCAACCCGACTCTCTCTCCCTGCTTAATTATTATTTACCCAATTTTTCATCCTCGAATGTGCTAATGAAATAGGTTAATCGAATTTTGCCTTAATTAAATTGCAGTAGGGCGCTTTCATTAAATTATCGGGAAAGGTCTGTTTGTGCAGTAAATTCGTTATAATTGATCACCGCGTGGCGTCTGCCACTAAAACCAACAAAATTCGCTCGATTTTGAAAAATATCTGGGTCACGCATAATTCGATTACGCCCGTCGTTATCCATATTAATGAATTTACCCTCGTCGAAGACTGTTTCCTCGAATTATTAAAAACCAAACCGTCGACAGAAATTTCTTATTAAAATATCGAGGAAACTCTTATAAGAAATGACATCACACGTTAAAAATCTATCAAAGCAAACGATTTTTAATCTCTTGCACTGCAATTTATTTCACAGCTAGGTTGATTAGCATTTCCAACAATTGAATGGCTTAGAATCGTAGTGGCGTGAGTCACATGTTTGAAAATGTTGACTCATATCTTCAAATGTAATCTATGTATAGATGCCAAAATGTTAAAAAGACGAATAAAATAAATTATAAGATTATGAAACAAATTATAAAATTCCTACAAATTTACGTATCTCTAAATTATCTGATCAAAATGTATAAACAATGATGCTTCGGTAATATTGCTATGTTAATTGCTATGCTAATGCTTCTGTAATATTCAATAGTAATATTGCTAAACAATATTTATATAGTAAACAATAATGCTTCTCGTTTCTCACAATAAGAAAAAAATGTAACTATATCACTATAATTCTAACCCACTCAATTGTCGTCGAAAATATGTATATTCTCACAAGAGAAAAGAACTTTATACATTTACTGTATATTTACACCAATTCTAATGTCTAAATATTAACAATAGAAAAAATTGGGCTCAATTTACATTTAAAAGAAGCGAATAACATTCGTATATTAGAGTTATAAATTATGTTCTAAATCTTCATAACGAGTTAGACACGTTATTGCAGTGCAAGGGTTTAATCGAAATATAAATAATCATAAAACAAAGAACAGAAGATTCACAAAATTGTAACAAAGCTTATCGCGGGAGTAAACCGCAGCGCGATCGATACGGCCGAATTCGAACATGTCGGAGGCTTGAAATAATAAGTAATAGATCTGAAAAACGTCAACAGTTTCCAAGCTCCCGCCGATCTTGACAGTGAACAATGCAATTCGAGTATGATATACATAGAATCAACGATTCTCCAGCCGGCAATCTGCTTCTTGACACACTTTGACTGCCATGTCATCCACTTGTCGGTGACGGAATTATAAGCAGAATAGAAAATTAATTTTTCCGCTAATTAATTAGGGCTACCAATAAGTAATATCGTTTTCTTTTGAATTGAATACACATTGTCGCATTGTTCGCGGACATGAGCTACTATTGCGCAACTTATGCGCTATGAGTAAATTTATTGATATTTAGTCTGTTCATCGTGAATTTTAAAAAAATTTGGATACACAGTAATTATATATAATACAGAATTATTATTTAATTATTATAATACAGAAGAGGAGATACGATTATTCGAGCCTTGCGGCTCGTTTTTCTAGTTACCGATTCTCAACAACTATAAAAACGAGACGCAAGGCTCGAATAATAGTGTTTCCTCTTCCAAAATTGTTCATTTTTATGCGCGATCTGAGCGCGAATTAGCGGGAAATTACTGTACTGTTATAAAATGGAAGATCGAACTTTGGATAATGTATGTATTAGACGTTTGGAAGGGTAAGAATGATACTAATGCCACAAGTGCCACTAATTTTGTATAGAGGTGTCCCAAAATTATGGTACTTTCGGGAAATAAATGGGTTCCTGACGTCATTTGAAGTAATTTTTTCCTTAGCGAAAATGCAATCCGCGGCTTCGTTTACGAGTTATTGACGAAAAACACTGACCAATGAGAGGCGAGCTCGACTGGAGCGAGGCGACCGAGCCAATGAACGGAACCGAGCTTCATCTGTTCACCTCGCGCGAGTCGAGCTCACCTCTGATTGGTCAGTGTTTTTCGGCAATAACTCGTAAACAAAGCCGCGAATTGTATTTTCGCTAAGAAAAAAGTTACTTTAAATAACCTCAGGAATCTGTCATTTCCAGAAAGTACCATAATTTTGGGGCACTCTCTATATACTTAGTATTTTGGACATAAAGAAGTGTGTCGACATTGACATAACAAATTTAAAAATGGTGTCGACAATTTAAAATCTAGCAGACCCATTCAATTTCACAAGGATCTAGTGTTGACTGAAATACATATAGTTTCGTGAAAACGAGTGAAATTGAGATGAAATTGTCAGTGAAAATGAAAAATGGATTCTATTCAGCAATTCACATAAAAAAGAAGAGTGATTAACACCAAAAAAGCTGGTCTTCAGCGGTGTCAAAACGACATTACTTGCGGGCACTATTAATTAATTATTAAAATATCTTCCCGATTTTATTAGAATATATAAAACGTTTGAACGTTGAAAAAGTAACTGATGTCATACAACTTAACTATGCAATATCAATTTGTCTAAACATATTACTTTAATCTGATGAAATCTTTCAGGTCGTTGGGGCGGCAGTCAAAGTGTTAATGTCATCGAACAGTGCTGTTACAATTACTCTTTGTGCAGTCGCGGTAATCCTGTGGTATAGCCAGTTTAATGGTCGTACATGCGTCTTTGCTCGTTAAATTTAAGTCGTCCTAGAATTTAATGTTCCGGGCGAAGGTGTTAATTCACGGATTTCGCTTTACGATTTACGGAGCATTACGAAATTTCACGCGAGAGCAGGGTAGCTCTTCGTAATATTAATTCTTCAGGCCTTATACCGGGTGGGGCACACGCGAATAACTCGCTTGGTTTTGACAATAGAAAAAAAAGTATCAGACAAAAGTTGTTTGATTTCGAGGAGCACATTATATGATGTTAATAATTTTTTTATAGGTGGAGACATAGATAATATACGAAGGTCAAAGGAAGGGGGAAATTGATCATTTTATGTACGAAGGATGAAAAACTTTATTTATTTATATTTTCCCAATCCAGGTAGAGGAAAAAACAACATATTCATTTCCGGTTGCTTGTAATCTCAACAATTAATCACTTAACGCATTGCTTAACTGTGATTGTTCAATGCTTCTTAAATATCAATGATTTACAGCTAATGATGCTAATTTGATCAATAATAATAGCATCTCAGAATGTCATATAAAAGAACAATCAAAAGCTCCTTTTTTACGAGCAAAATTGACTTTGCCTGGTCAAAAAATATCGACCTTACTTTATTTTATTACTTTAAAAATTACTACATTAACTAGTCTGAAACTTTGCATCCGTTTTTATTATAGTCTCATTAAGTTACACAAGGTGTTGGACCAACCAACTTGAAATTTCAATTATGTATTGAGAAAGTATCTCTTCATTGTTTGACCTACAAGCAAGACGATGGTTTTGATGTAGAATATGTATTCATTTTTTAATAATCAAATATTGACTTTAGACAGCTACCAATGGAGTTCAAGTTTACCTAAAAGGCATATATCATGTCATCTATCTAAAACAGGATATTCTTGTCCAGAGACAATATAGACTATACTTTTTAGCGAATCTAAGTAAACAAGTTTGTGTAACTGAATGAAAGTAAAATAAAAACATGTGCAAAGTTTCAGTCTAATTATTGTAATAAATTTTGGTAATTAATTACTTTAACAATGCCACACTACTTTTAATGGTTTTGAAATATTTTGTCATAATATATAAGGCCATATCATAGCTGTTGTATAATACGTTGTCACTTAATATGTTGTCATGTGATGAACATATTGTCATATATGTCGGCATATGTTAATAAAGCAGATCAATTAAACCATATTGTTACATAGTATTCGATAATCCTGAATATAATACAATACAAAATATTTGTGTAGTTCGTGTAACTCGAATATTTAATATTAAACAATTAAAGATCTGTTCAAACATATTCGAGTAATTCGACAATTTTCGTGCTCTAAATTCTCATCTTCAAGTGTATCTTGAGCATTCGAATAATTCAAAAGATTACTGAATTACTTCAGTAATCTTACAAGCATTCGAGTAATCGAGCCGCTTGAATTTTTCAATAAATGCATTCTTTTCGGGCAGTTCAAGTACAGTAAACTTCAAGTACAGTAAATTTTCCCTAATTAACGTTCAGACGCTACACAATTCTAACTAATTTTAATTCGATTTCAACTAATTTCACGCTACACAAAAATGGACAATTTGGTAAGAGAAGATACGATCATCCGTTTTTATAGTTGCCAATTGCCAACAATTATAAAAACAGAGTGTCAGACTCGAATAATCGTATTCTCCTCTTACCGAATTGTCCATTTTTGTGCGCAATCTGAGCGTCGATTAGGGAGAATTCCGTGTAACTCGAAAAATTCGAACGCTGTACACGGCTCGGTTCATAAAATCCGAGTACCGGCAGACCGCCATTCATTATCCGGTCTCCGCGGCGAAATGAATCGGGTGTACACGCAACCAAAAAATAAATCTGACAGAAATGGATGAACCTACCTGATAATCGGGCGACGTCGGCTCCACGGGTCGCGCGACAACGAGGCGCACGTGTGTGCCGGATTGTCGCAGCACCGCGGCAACCTGTTCACTCCCCATTCCCCGCAGATTGACATCGCCGATTTGCAATATATGGTCCCCGCTCTGCAGCCGATTATCCTGCGATTCGAATTGCAAACGAACGAGGTTTAATTCCGCGAATTGATCTCGGCGGCCTACCGAGCGTGCGCGCGCGCGCGCGCTCGCCTCCACCGCGTCGATTATTTTCCCGCTCTCGTTCCCTCTTCGCTCCGTCGTCCCCCGTTTCACCCTTTCTTTCGTTCTGATCGCTTTCACCCACACGACGGAACGCGGGCTCGATCATCGACTGTCCACGCGCGAATTCACACGAAACTCCCCGACTTTTGCATTAATTTCATGGAACGGGAGCGCGATTCACGCGAGAACTAGCGTTCGCGCGAACAATGAAGCGACACCGTCGACAGTGATCGCCTGATCGGCGAGGATCAGGCGCGGAAAGTATGTATCTCGTTTGCACAATACTCGTTGTTCGAAATCGTTCGCGCGAAGTGACAATCACGTCCGCAGACTGCTAATTTGTTATTTATACGGCACCGCCCGTGCGTACCATTTAGTTTTGATGAAGTGCCCCCCACCCCTCCCTTTATCCCTCGTTCTGGTGTCAATTTGACACTATTTACAAGTTTCGGAGTTTATTATTCCGGTACTTTTAGGGAATTTCATTTACGTTACTTTCGTTTCTTTCTGTCCAAAAAATTCCTAATTTAACTTTGGAAGAATTTGGAATGGATATGAGCGATAACAAGTGAGTGAAAACTCGAACGATGGGCAACTGTTTACTTTCATTTTCTTCATTTTTTTTTTTTATAGAATGATTGATAAAATGTATCTATAATAAAAACAAACTGTGACAAAGCTGAAAAAACTTTCACTTATTTGCACCAAAATGTTTATAGAATTTATCTACAGAATCTTTATTCAAGATCAGAAACGAAACAATGAGAAATCATACATACGGATTCAGAGAGTAAGTAGCTTTCTTTAAATATAGAAGAATCTTTCGAACAAATTATAATATCTATATTAATTCTTAGACTGCGGATTTTATGTGCATTTATGGCAAAACTTATTCAAGTAAATTCTCCCTAATTGACAAAAATGGACAGTTTAGGAAGAGGAGATACCATTAATTTGAGTCCTGCGCCTCGTTTTTATAATTTACCGATTCTCAACAACTATAAAAACGAGGCCCAAGACTCGAACAATCGTGTCTCCTCTTCCCGAATTGTCCCTTCTCGTGGACGATCTGAGCGCGAATTAGAGAGAAATTACTGTAGTTGCAATTTAAAGTAGTAGAAAGATCAAAAGAATCAAAAAATGTTGATGTATTATCTATACCCTACTCAAACTATTTAAAACAAATTCACTATTTAGTTTTTATTTTTATTTCGTATATAAAAATCCGCCGTCTATTAGTATTCTGTTGGCAAGAAGGTAATTTCGGTATTTCAATGTGAAGTAAAACTCAATTTCTTTTCTATGCAAAAAGTAAACTTTAACCAGTCAAATATCTTGCATTCTGTTCGATGACCTTTTGTCATGACCTTTTGTTGGTAACTTCATGATTCCGTGCTCCTAGAACATCTGGTCCTTATCAGCAAAAAACTCAATCAAGTGCGATTTCAGGCCATCGTTATTATTGAAATTTTTACCATTTGAAAAGTTTTGTAAACTTCGAAATAAATAATAATCCGATGGTGCAAGGTCGGCGCTACATCACTTTCCAACCAACCTCCAATAATTTCGTACGCGTTGCTTAAGATTTATGAGGTCTCGCATTTGACGCGATGGAACACGATTCCTTTGCGATTTGCCAATTCTGGCCTTCTCTCTTTGATTGCTCTTCCTCCAACTTCATCATTTGGTTGCTTGGAAGCAGCTCAAAGTACACAACACTTTTATAGTCCCATCAAATTGACAGCATGATCTTTTTCTGATACAATCCAGCTTTTTCGATGTGGCTTGTGCTGATTCATCACGCTTGGACAATCACCTTTTTCAATTAATGTTATTCTAAACGATCCATGTTTCATCACCAGTGATAATTCGTTTCAAAAAGGGTCGATCGCATTACGTTTAAAGTACGTATCGCAAATATCGATTCGTTGTGTTAAGCGAATTTCTTTCAATCCATGCGGAATCTAAACATCGAGCTTCTTAACTAGTNCAAAAAATGTTGATGTATTATCTATACCCTACTCAAACTATTTAAAACAAATTCACTATTTAGTTTTTATTTTTATTTCGTATATAAAAATCCGCCGTCTATTAGTATTCTGTTGGCAAGAAGGTAATTTCGGTATTTCAATGTGAAGTAAAACTCAATTTCTTTTCTATGCAAAAAGTAAACTTTAACCAGTCAAATATCTTGCATTCTGTTCGATGACCTTTTGTCATGACCTTTTGTTGGTAACTTCATGATTCCGTGCTCCTAGAACATCTGGTCCTTATCAGCAAAAAACTCAATCAAGTGCGATTTCAGGCCATCGTTATTATTGAAATTTTTACCATTTGAAAAGTTTTGTAAACTTCGAAATAAATAATAATCCGATGGTGCAAGGTCGGCGCTACATCACTTTCCAACCAACCTCCAATAATTTCGTACGCGTTGCTTAAGATTTATGAGGTCTCGCATTTGACGCGATGGAACACGATTCCTTTGCGATTTGCCAATTCTGGCCTTCTCTCTTTGATTGCTCTTCCTCCAACTTCATCATTTGGTTGCTTGGAAGCAGCTCAAAGTACACAACACTTTTATAGTCCCATCAAATTGACAGCATGATCTTTTTCTGATACAATCCAGCTTTTTCGATGTGGCTTGTGCTGATTCATCACGCTTGGACAATCACCTTTTTCAATTAATGTTATTCTAAACGATCCATGTTTCATCACCAGTGATAATTCGTTTCAAAAAGGGTCGATCGCATTACGTTTAAAGTACGTATCGCAAATATCGATTCGTTGTGTTAAGCGAATTTCTTTCAATCCATGCGGAATCTAAACATCGAGCTTCTTAACTAGTCCAAGACATCTTATGTGATATTCAATTGTTGTGCGCGATGCATTTAACCTTTTTGCAATCTCTCGCACAGTTATACGACGATTCGATTCAATTATGACTTTGATTTTGTCATCGTCAACTTCAGAAGGTCGACCAGAACGTTGGTCATCTTTAAGTGAAAAATCTTCAGAACCAAATTTGTTGAACCAATTCTGACACGTGCGTCCCGTTAAGCAATCGACGCCATAAACTTCGCATATCTCTTTGCGAGACTCGGCCGCTTTTTTGCCTTTATGAAAGTACAAAAGTATAATGTGTCGGAAATGTTCATTTTTGCACTCCACGTTAAAATCGACAGCAAACTATCAGTTGTAAACGAAACTACACGGAATTTGTTTCTATGGTCACCTAAACGTGTTAACTATCAAAGCTGAGGACAAAAAAATTATAACCTTAGCATAAAAATGACAATATACAAACATAACGTTATCTATTGGTGCAAACCGAAATTACTTTCTTGCCGACCCAACAGATGCAGTGGCTCCCAAAGGGATCTTTCGCACGGGCGAAGTTGTTCCAATTAATTTCGTACATTATTTCATAACATTTGTATGCAGTACCGGCGGACCAACTCGAGACAAAGTTGTTGGTCAACAAAAACTCGACGGCGATGAACTTTCCTCCATTTACATCTAGTTATTAGAAAACCGATAAAGTTAAATTGAGGGAAGTTCGATGTTCCGAGCGAACGCTTCCGCGGAGACACTGCAGCGTAGCTTAGGGCGAAACATCTCGCAAAGGAATGAATCTGTATCGCGTCCAGTTGCAAAAAACTTACCCGATCTGCGACGCCGCCGGGAAGAATTGTCTTGACGACAACACCGGTGCTGCGTCCGCCGACAATTCCGAATCCAAGACCGCTGCCATCGTTGATCAGGTTTATAACTTCAACTTGTGCCCATTCCGTGTTCAGCTGCAACAAATCGAAACGAGCAATTCCAATATGTTCCATCGCATTTCTCGAGCACACTCTTACATTCCTTTCGTATTTGAAAACGTTCAATTCGAGTATACCGGTGACACCTAGATATTTATGCATTTATGGGATGTGCAGATTGTTCAAATGCATGGGAACGTGCAGATTAACCAGATCGCGTAGCATTTTTGTTTTATTTTTCAAATGAACAATCTTCTAAATGGCCGAGGAAATTTTCCATTTTTCTATCTTAAAATAATCGTCGAAACTACGAACACGCTTTTGTGATTAATGATCGACTAAATTTCTTGATTCGAACATATGTTACAATGGCTGCGTAATGTCTAAATCAATTTTATAACTTTTACAGTAATGTCTAAATCAATTTTATAACTTTTATAATAATGTCTAAATCAATTTTATAACTTTCACAGTAATGTCTAAATCAATTTTATCATTTTTACAGTAATGTCTAAATCAATTTTACAACTTTCACAGAAATGTCTAAATCAATTTTATAACTTTTACAGAAATGTCTAAATCAATTTTATAACTTTTACAGAAATGTCTAAATCAATTTTATAATTTTTACAGTAATGTCTAAATCAATTTTATAACTTTTACAAAACTCTTAGAGTACGCTCGGTAGGTTTAGTATTAATTTTAATTTTTGTAAAATGACGTAGGAAAATGAGAATTTCGGTAAAAATCCGCAGTCTGTTCAGGACGTAAATATTATTGTCACTACTAAAATACATAAGAATAAATTAATTTGCCGACCGTAAATTTTTGGATAGATTTTAGTATTTTAAATTGAGATATACTTTTCATTCTTTACATATGTGAAGTTATTTAAAAATTAACGTAGTTTATAGGGAAGAATTTGATGCTACTACGATTTTCTTGCCATAGAAATACAACAATTAAAAGATATTACAGAGCAAATACGCTTTTCAAAATGTAAAATATTAGATACATGAATACAAGCACATAGGAAAATGCCACGTATTATTGCAGTTAAATAATTATCAACCTAAAAAATAACATTATCAAACCTAAAATGATTCTGTAGTTTTCTAGTAACTTTCTTTTTTCGTTTAGAAATAAAAGTGTCCCTTTCACGCTACCTTTCGTTATAAAAATTTCACCATCTGTTCCCTGTCATCGTAACAACGGTGCCACCTCATTCCGCATCATTATAAAAATGAAATGAAACGGACAGAAATGTTCTTGAAAGACCATGTAAATTTCGGAAACACGATAGCGTGTACTTCGTGTTCTAGAATTCACGCCGCGTGACTTCACTGCTCCGACCCTGTCAATTCTCTCCAATTTCAGCTGGAAATGAAAGGCAGAGTCCGTTCCAGTTTCCGGGGCCGCTTTCTCATGCGCTGCCCGGATGGGGCTTCCTAAAGAGTCGCAACGGAAAATATTTGCGGAAGGAATCCGGCATTCCTACTCCATTCTCGATAAAATATCTCGCAACCGTGTAAACATCGTAATTGACTGTGGGAAGTTTTTTAATTATCGGTCGGGGCTCGTGAAGTGGTAAGAACTTGGTCGATTGCGGCGGCAGAAGAGAGAGAAAGAGAGAAAGAGAGAGAGAGAGAAAGAGAGAGAGCGCTAGAGAGAGGAGAGAAAGAAAGAGAGGGATATGGGTCAATAGTTCTCGTTAAAACGTATGGAAGAAAAATAGAGAAAAAGGACGAGGGGTGTGCGAGGAAGGAATCATGTCACGCTGTGGTTTTCTTCGTTGCGTTCTTAAGAATATTTAACGAAGCAGTCGGGTGAAAGAAAATTCAATGTGCTTAGCGCTCGATCTGCCGTAAATTATATCGCCTCACCGTAACGTTCGCGATACGCGGTCAGAGGATTTCAGAGATTTATAGAGAATTGTATTTTTCGTACTTTAAAACGCGAAAAACAAGTTTAGCAGAAACGAAATCTGACTCACGACGGAGATTCATAATAATGATTTTTAATGCAAGGAACATTCAAAATGTACGCTAGAATCGATGCAAGCACTATTTCAACGCGACTGATACAAGTGTGTCAGTGTTTTATATCCTGTTAAGCGACTTTTATATTTTAATAAAGAAGGAAGATAGCAAAATATTAACCCTTTGCACTCGAGTGGCGACTCTGAGGCAACGCTAAAAATGCTACACTATTTTCAAAAGAATTGTCACATTATTAAATTTGTCTGTATTCGATAAATTGTCAAATAATAGAGGTCTTCAATAAGCATACGCATTCAATTTTGTGTGCATCAAATAAAAACAATTCGAACAAATGAAAATACCGTAGGCTGAAACAAACTTCTTCATTTTCGCGTTAAGATAGTCTTGGAGGCAAAGGGTTAATCCTATGCACTCGAACGGTGACTCTGAGGCAACGCAAAAAATTGCTACACTATTTTCAAAAGAATTGTTAAGTTATTAAATTTGTCTGTATTCGATAAATTGTCAAATAATAGAGGTCTTCAATAAGCATACGCATTCAATTTTGTGTGCATCAAATAAAAACAATTCGAACAAATGAAAATACCGTAGGCTGAAACAAACTTCTTCATTTTCGCGTTAAGATAGTCTTGGAGGCAAAGGGTTAATCCTATGCACTCGAACGACGATTGTGCGGCGCCATTGGAAATCAGCTAGATCATGTTTCGAAATAATGCTTACGCTACCGAATTCTGTTCGATTTAAAATGTCGTAAAAAGTGTGAACGCTCTGTAAACCGATAAGCTCAATGCTACGTGCTCAACATGAAATAAATCACATAGAATTGTGATACCGTGGGTGAAAAGAAATGTCTTGGTTCTGGAGTTAAATAAAATAGCTTCGAGTGCAAAAGATTATTTGTTGCCACGTATGCACCACTTTGCATTTAGATGAAAGAGATAAATTACTCACCCTGTATAGAGGAAAACTGTATACTACTAGGATTTTTGCAATACAAAACTATAGTAAAATTAATATTTTCTTTAGCAAATCTCAAGTATCTAGTTTCCGTTTCATTAATTAAATGACTTTGATATTGTAGGAATTTTGTGGAGTTATTATTCGGCACTGAATGTGTCAACGACAAATTTTAACTATAAAATGGAAGCCTACGGCGAGTACACCGTAAGGAAAAAGAATATAAATAGTGAAAGAGGATGAGAAAATGTTTGCGGTCAAGTGGAACGGAGCGATATAGGTTTTTATTTTGCACTGAATTTGCTGATTACTAACGAACAACAATTATTTGTCAATATACAGCCGGAAGACGAGATTTAACCTACTTTATCAAGACCATTTCACTCGAGCGAATCAATTATTGAAAATCTTAGCCCGAGGCAATCTTGAATTTCTTTCTCGATAATAGGAACCAAGCCCGGCATCGTCGTTATCGGTCGCTGTTCCTGTGTTAGACCGACGGATTATTTAAACAACCGACCCAAGTATCTGTGGAACGAACGGTACTCCGATTTCAGTGGAAAACAAATATATCGTCGGATTTCATCGTCGATGAAAAAGCAACCGATACCGGAGTTTAATATGCGCGCATTCGAAGCGTATAAAAATCTCTGGAAAATGTTCGAATGCAAAAGTCGATGGAACAGTCAGCGGCGTCATTTTATTTTTCATCTTTTTTTAAGCTTCGTTTCGATCTTGCAACTATGCGCCGGACTTTGAATATCAACCTGAATCTGCGAACTTCAATGAAAATGAAAACTTCGGTCTGAATTCGATTACGAACCTAAATTATTATACGAACCTTGTCCTGTGCACTGTTTTTTTTTCAAACGAAACTAGTATCCGAATCCTATTTTAACGCTAGAACTACCAAATCAAAAATAACCGAATCAAAATTATAGTAAATTTTCCGTAATTGACGAATTGTCCTAATGGACAATTTGTGAAGAGGAAGTTATTCGCGCCTTCCGGCTCGTTTTCATGGTTCCTGAATGTCAACAATTATAAAAACGAGCCGCAAGGCTCGAATAATCGTATCTCTTCTCCCTAAATTGTCCATTTTTCTGCACAATGTGAGCGTCAATTAGGGAGAATTTACTGTAACCGATTTCTGATTTTTTTCTTTTCTATGTCGTGATATTAACATCAGGCTCGCGAGACTTGACATAAGTTTGGTATAACCTCTGTAAACAGCAAATGATCGACGTATATTTTCCTATTGCCTTGAAACATATGACTCTAGACAGCAGATTTTACGCATTCGTGAGAGAAACGAGCAGCTAAACTACGGAACAATGACGAAAATTTTCAACTTATTGAATTGATTAACGGAGAAAATAGATTTTTATTCGACTTCCGTTCATTGCAATCGAGGTAACAATTTTCATTTTGCCTAAAGATCCGTTGTCCACGTATGACATTGTAATATCTGAACTGATTCTCCACGAGAAATACTTCTTTTGTAACACCAATTTTTTAATTTAGGATTATTCGTATCGTCAAGATGCATTTCTGAGTCATTCATTCAATTTGTATGATAATCAGAATAAATGTCTTATTGTTACTCTTATGAACGAATATAAAACAGCTGTTTTTTGTGCCCCGTAAATCTAGTGTTAATATTTTCACGCATTCTTGTTAGAATATGAAAGAGCAAGAATTTAATTTCATCCTGATCGCGAACACGACGGAAAGCCTAAAACACGTAGCAGAAGAATACTCTAATTCCAGGTCGCGACACAGGCAGAATTCGACGGCCGAAGCGGCGTGACAACGATGAAATCAACACCATGAATTGTTTAGCATGAGACCACAGGATTCACGATTCCGTAACAGCGGAATGGAAACACGCAGGCCGTTCGATTGACGGGAATGAACAATTTCGCATACGTCGTTAAAATCCGCGGACGATTCGGGCTGCGTCACGTTGGTCTCGTTAATAATGGGCCGTCACCCGAATCGTTAACGAAATGACAATAGAGGACGTGAATCGCATAATCGGTCAACGGCAAACACGAAAATGCCCACGAGAAAATGCGG